GACTCCAGCGGCCGGGTCCTCAGGACCAGCAGGAGCTCCAACGTCCGGGTCCCCAGCACCAGCAGCAGCGCCACCGCTCGGGTCCTCAGCTCCAGCAGCAGCTCCACCAGGCGGGTCCGCAGCACCAGCAGCAGCGCCACCCCCAGAGTCGGCAGCTCCAACTCCGCTAGCACCGCCAGCGCCAGAGTCCCCAGCTCCAGCAGCTCCAGTCGCAGTACTCCCAGAACAAGCAGCCCCAGCACCCCCAACTCCAGCCGAGCCACTAGGACGGCGAAAGCGCCGGACGTACCAGTCACGAAGCTGCTGCGGTGTGAGAGACTGCTCAGCACCCCGAACCGGAGCACCCCCAGACGCAGTAACCCGAGGCTCCGTAGGCTCAGTAGCAGCACCCCCAGGCTCAGCACCCGCAGGCTCAGCACCCGCAGGCTCAGCACCCCCAGTCGCAGCACCCCCAGGCTCAGCACCCCCAGGCGGCAAACTCTCAGGCACAGTACCCTCAGCTCCAGCACCCGCAGTCCCAGCACTCCCAGGCCCCGCACCCGCAGGCTCAGCACCCCCAGGCTCAGCACCCCCAGGCTCCGTACTCTCAGGCACCGTACCCTCAGCTCCAGCACCCTCAGTCCCAGCACCCGCAGCCCCAGCACCCCCAGGCCCAGCACCCCCAGGCTCAGCACCCCCAGGCTCAGCACTCCCAGCAGCACCACCCGCAGCAGCACCTGAGTCACCTGTGACCTCGACAGGCTCAGCGACGGGAGGAGGGTCTACCTGAGAGACACCTGAAGGAGCAGGACCCTGAGGGGGAAGGGGGTCTACCGGAGGGGGACCAGGAGCGAGGAAAAGCGGCGGGGGAGGGAGAGGGGCAGTGCGGTAGGGGAAGAGACGGTAGAAAGGGACCGACTCGTCAAAGGTGACGTCCTGAGAGGCGAAGACCCGGCGCGAGGTGGGGTGGTAAAACTGCCAGCCAGGCGCGTCAGGGACAAAGCCAAGGAAGACACAGGGAAGCGTGCGGGAGGAGAGCTTGTCCGCGGACGTATCGCGGACAAGGGCACGAGCACCCCACACCCGGAAGCGCGACGCATCGCCAACCTCCCCCGTCCAACGCAGTGTGGGCGAGGTCTCCGGCAAGGAGACACGGGGCCAGAGGTTGAGCTGATGCGCGGCGTACCGGACAGCAAACGGCCACAGAAAATGGGGAGCCGCCGCGTGGACCAAGGAGGTACGAGCGACCTCCATGACCAGGCCAATGCGGCGCTCAGCAACCCCATTCTGCTGTGGGGAGTCCGGAAGCGTGAAGGTCTGCTCGATGCCCTCCGCCTGACAGAAGGTCCTCAAGAGATCGGAGGAAAACTCACCACCTCTGTCAGAGTGCAGACGCAGGACAGGAAGATCCGTCCGGAAACGGCGGCGGAGCTGGAGACGAACTGCGCGGATCCAAGGGATCAGAACAGCAGGGACCTCACCCTTGGTGCGCAAGGGGAAGACCGTGGTGTAACGCGAGTAGTCGTCGACAACCAGCAAAAAGTACCGCTCACCGCCCTGACCACGAACGCGGGCTGGGCCCCACACGTCCAGGTGGAGGGTCTGCAGAGGAGCCTCTGTCGGGGGGAACGAGGAGGAGTGAGGAGCGGCGCGCTGCCGCCCCTCGACGCAAGGAAGGCAAGGCGGCGCAGGCGAGGCAGGGAGGGGAGGGAGGGACCTGGGAAGACCAGACACAAGGTGGCGACGGTGCATGCCACGAAGGCGTGGCAAAGAGGGGTGACCCAGGCGGTGGTGCCAGAGAAGAGTCTGGTGCGACAGGGAACGACACTCACAGGCGTGGGCTACCAGACCTGACGCAGACACCTGACCGACAGCAGCGACCTGAGGAGACGCAGTGGTCAGTGTGTAGAGACTCGACCCCGGCCGACGGGTAAACGTAGCCAGGTGACGGCCGGTCCTGGAGCACGTGCAGATCGCCACACGCTGTCCTCCAGGGGTAAAGGTGTCAACCCACTGATCCTGGAGGACAGCGTTGCTCACCAGGTTCGTCGAGAACGAGGGGAGGTGGAAACCTGACAACGAGCCAGACGGAACCGCCGGACAAGGGAGGACAGTGGTGGACTGGGCAAGGACTGGGCCCCCAGAGGGGTCAGCCAAGGAGACTGGGACCGGTGCAGGAAGCGGTGTGAGCTCAGTACTGTCACGAAAGAAGCAACGGGAAGCACCTGAGTCAAGGGTGAAGGTGTGACAGGCCTCAGCCGGTGCGGTACCTGAGAGAGCAGTCTCTGTGGGTGCTGTACCTGAGAGAGCAGACTCGAAACCAGCCGGGACAGCACTGGAGGGAGCAAGTACAGGGGGCACCATACCAGAGAGAGCAGACTCACTAGTACCCAGGGCAGCGGGCTCTATACCTGGGTCAGGCGGCACACACAAGTAACAGTCTCCCTCGGCACTAACAGTCAATGCATACATGGCAGCAATAATAGCATCATAGTCAAGAGCAAAGACATCAACACCAGCCCTCATGAGCTCAGCCCAGCGGGGGCGCTCAACATCCGCACCCATCTCCTCACGCCAAGCGTCGTCAAGGCGGGAGAAGCAGCGGTACGGGGTGTGGAACCTCCCACACGTCTGTCCCTTGCGGTCACCTGTGCGAATGACATAAGAACAGCGGCCACTGCCCCCCGACGTCCCACGCTGAGCAAGCCACTCACGAAGCTGCTGGGTCGTCTGGGGACGCTGCTGCTGCTGGGAGCTCTGGCCCGAGCCAGTGCCTCCACTCCGACCTCCGCCGCCACCACTACCACCGCTCCGACCGCCACCGCCACCACCGCCACCACCGCCACCGCCGCCACCGCCGCCGCCGCCACTACTGCCACTGCTTCCTCCGCCGCCCCCGCCTCCACCACCGACCCCACTCCCACCAGCGCTCCCGCCACCGCTCCCTCCAGCACCGCCTCCCCCCCCACCTCCCCCACCTCCCCCACCTCCTCCCCCCCCAGCGCCACCACCACCACCCTTGCCCCCCTTGCCCTTGCCGGTGCGGCGCCTCCCACCAGGAGCAGAAGCAGCGCCAACAGACTCAGCACCAAGGAAGTCAACAGCAGCAGCAGCAGCGTAGGAGGGAGCGAGGGGAGAGGGAGAACACCCCTCAAAGATGGGGGTGCGAGGAGCGCCACGAGCAGCACCGACAGCTACAATGCTCTTTTCGGCCGCGAGCAGCTGCTCCTCTAGGAGGGCGACTGTGAGCTCAGTGGGACAGCGAGCAAGGAAGTGGTCTCGAACTGAGCGGAGGGTGTCAGGGAGACGGGTGACTATGAAGTGGAGTGTCCAGTACAGTGGAGGGGGGTTCTTAGCGCAGAACTCGGTGGGAAGGGCGGCACGCAGGCGAGCATCACTAGTGCGAAGGTGGGTGATAAGATCGGCGACTGTAGTAAAGGTGGACAGATCGGGGAACAGGTACGGCAGCATGAGGCGGCTAAGCTCGGCTGTGGCAGGCGAGGAGTAGCGAGCAACGACAGCATCGTACAGGGCCTTAGCGGATTTGCAGTCGCCGAAATGCTCGAGCTCAGCTAGCGGCAGGTGACTGCGAATGGCTAGGCGAGCAGCTGCGTCACGAGTCTGCCAGTGGGAACGAACACTAAGCTCGGCTGTGGCAGCAGGAGCAGCGGCAGCACCAGACGCGTAGTCATAGAGGGAGATGTGGTCCGTGCTATTGCTCATAAGATACAACTGCAGGTCGTCGAGCCAGGAAGTGAACTGCACGGGACGGCCCTCAGCATCGAAGGAAAGAACGCGAATAGAGGCCATAGCTCAGGCGTGAGGGCACAGCAGAGCAGCGGCAGCAGCAGAGGGGACGCGCTAGAGCGAAGCTAGCAGCCACAGCAGGAGCAAGCGGCGGTGCACAGGCAGGGAGCAGCAGGCGAGAAGCGCGGCGGGCGGGCTGCGAAGCGGGCAGCGGGGCGGGCGGGCGACGCAGCAAGCGGGCAGTGAGGCAGCGGGCGACGCTGCGAAGCAGGTAGCGGGCGGGCGGGCGGCGCTGCGAGCGGGCAGCGAAGCGGGCGGGCCGCGAAGCGGGCAGCGAGCGGGCGGGCGGGCTGCGAAGCGGGCAGCGGGGCGAGCGGGCTGCGAAGCGGGCGGGCCGCGAAGCGGGCAGCGAGCGGGCGGGCGGGCTGCGAAGCGGGCGGGCCGCGAAGCGGGCAGCGAGCGAGCGGGCTGCGAAGCGGGCGGGCCGCGAAGCGGGCAGCGAGCGGGCGGGCGGGCTGCGAAGCGGGCAGCGGGGCGAGCGGGCTGCGAAGCGGGCGGGCCGCGAAGCGGGCAGCGAGCGGGCGGGCGGGCTGCGAAGCGGGCGGGCCGCGAAGCGGGCAGCGAGCGGGCGGGCGGGCTGCGAAGCGGGCGGGCCGCGAAGCGGGCAGCGAGCGGGCGGGCGGGCTGCGAAGCGGGCAGCGGGACGAGCGGGCTGCGAGCGGGCGGCTCGGCGGGCGGGCGACACTGCGAGGGGCGCGCGAGGGCGCTAGTGAGGGGCGCGCGAGGGCGCTAGCAAGGGGCGCGCGAGGGCGCTAACGAGGGGCGCGCGAGGGCGCTAACGAGGGTGCGCGCGAGGGCGCTAACGAGGGGCGCGCGAGGGCGCTAACGAGGGCGCACGAGGGCGCTACGAGGCTAGGGCACGGGGTAGCGTGGTAACCGCATGCGAGCGGTGGTGGGCCCTTAAAAAAAACGGTCGGTAGGTCCTAGGGACCTCCTGCTCTGATACCATGTCAAAGTAACTAGGCAAGAATGAATGAACTAGCAGAAGTTTGGGTACAAATATGAAACCCTAGTTGGGGTTGTACCCCATATTGGCTACCCCACTACAGCCTACAAGCATAATACAGTTTAACAAGTAGTAGTAGTAGTAGTAGTAGTAGTAGTAGTAGTAGTAGTAGTAGTAGTAGTAGTAGTAGTAGTAGTAGTAGTAGTAGTAGTAGTAGTAGTAGTAGTAGTAGAAGTAGTAGTAGTAGTAGTAGTCGTAGTAGTAATGGATGCGTAAAAAGCGTGAAGCTGTTTAACAACGCACGTGGAATATACTATGTGGGAATAAGATACACAGATAAAATGATACTTATAATATGATCTGTGGTATTGTTTTGTATTATTCAACAGCTTGATAATTCGTATAAAACAAATGCTAAAAGGACTTAAATGTTATTATTGAGTGACGTGATACACCAAATTTTCATTCTAGGGCCTGTTTGTCTAGTTTACATCTCATAACGCTGGGGAGACGGATGCCCTTGGTTTGTCACCACAATTCTGACTTATCGACGGTTCTCCGGGTTCAGCGCGTTGACAGAATATGACTCATCATTTTCCGCCAAACAAAACCACGCCCCAGAGGAGGTGATCTATCCCAAATTGAATTGTGAACCGTTGATCTCACACCAAAATCACTCAATTGCCAAATCTTGACCATCATCCTTCACAGCCAAACCCACCGAACAACCGCCTCTCTCACCCCGATCCTCCCCCCCCCCCCCCCCCCCTTGGCGAGCATCTCTCTTACCAAACACACGAGTATATCTGAGAGCGTTTCGTTTCTTAGCTTCAAATTTTCAGTCTTAGCCATTTCCGTCATTAGTATCCACCCCGCCACGGAGTCGTCCCGGTCTCGTCGATCCGCCACGCGCCAGTCGTAACGGCGTTTGTTGTCACGCTGCTCGTAACGTCGTAGTTTCCCGCGCGTCTTGTGTTCGACGTTTCTCCGGTGCCTTGCTACTTACGTTTTTTTTTCTTGCAGAGAGTTCGATCGGCCGATCGCTTGCTCACATGAGGAACATCTGCCGCCGCCGCGTGCCGAACTTGAGGTGTAGCGGCGCTGGTTGTCGAGCTGTTTCTAAACGTGACGTTCCCCTTCCGGACCCTCCCTCCGAGTCGTTGCTCGAAGTTGCATTCGCTTGGCAGGAAGATTTTTTTCCTGCATCCCAGCTTTCCCTCGTTCCTTCTCTGTTCCTTCTAATTCCCGTTTTCCCTTCCACTTTCCCCACGTCCTTGTTTTCCCCTTTTCCTGTTTCCCAATCCCCTCTCACTCCTACGTGGCGCCGTCGCTCCAGTTCAACTCGCGCCGCTCGTTTGCTCTTGTGCAACTCGCGCCGCTCGCTTGCTCCGGTGCAACTCGCGCGTGTGCACCTCGACGAGTGGCTTCAGCAGCGGCATTCGCTAGTGGCGGCGGACGAGCTGGGACGCTGTGGTCCGTTCTGGTGGCGCCGGGTGCTCCAGTATTCGACTTGCGCGATGTGAGTTGGGGCTAGCGCGAAGGCATGAGAATGAGGCAGCGGGGAGGGAGGGGAGAGGGGCGGGGGGGGGAGGGGGAAGGGGGGAGGGAGGGAAGGGAGGGAAGGGAGGGAAGGGAAGAAAAGGGAGGTGATACCCCATATTACGCTGTCAACACGTGTGTTGTACGTCATGCGTCGTTCGCCTACCGTATGCATTCTAACCCTTCTTCCCGTGCCCCTCCTTGTGGCCTCTCCCGTTTCCCCTTACCCTTTTCTTTCCCCTCTTTCTGCCCCTCTCCCAGGTCGTATATGCGGGTACTGGTGCATCTAGGCTGGTTAGTTGCTTCCACATGTAAGTGCTATTTTGATGCGTGCGATCTGCTACATCCTTTTATCATAAGACCCTCACTACGCTTATGTTATGTTCTGATGCATCCTGCAGAGTAACGAAGAGACCTGACGGCATGCAACTGTGTTTGGGTTATTAGGAAAATTTGAGAACTTAGCCTTATTTAGGCTTGTTCATGAACTGTTTCTTAGTGCAGATGGTATACTAAGCCTGATATAATTATTAACTTGATGAGGTATGGTATCATACGTTCATGCAGAGTACACTCTGGGAATAATGACTGATATTTTTTCTTCCGATTCTCATATTATAAGCAAACCTTTTTTGCAGAATCAGGTTTCAATAACGGATTGTTACACAAAAATCCTAATAAACAATGTATCAATTCACATCACATATCACAACTACTGGTCATTACACTTCGAGTATGTGTAATTATCAAATTTATAATCAAATTGATATAATCACAAAACGTCAGTAATCTATATCGTCAACGAAAATAAACTTCAGCAGCTTTAGTGTATCACGATTATTAAATGCATCCTGTCTGTTGACAGCCAATCCGAGAAGCACACGCGCACACGGTTTTTTGATAGGCGGGAAAACGCGCTACTGCTACTGCTACTACCAGACGCGATGTCACCACTAGACGACGCGGCGGCTAAGACCTCGTCGCTTAAAAATGCTTCTCCAGGTTTTAACGCGCGCCACGGGAATAAGTACGGCCACGGTGGGCACGACGCGTTCAGCTTCTTGCGACGCCATTCTATATCGAGACAGCTTGTATCGAAGCTTGGGTTCGAGAGGAGGTTGGACGAGCCACCTGTGTCGGGCAAATGAGGGGTACAACAGACGAATATTTCACGGTATCCGAGCGGATCAAGTTGTAAAAGCTTTTGCCAGTATCACGAGACCCTGGATGTGCTTAAGACTCGACCTCGTATCGCGAGGCGGTGGCGACCCGACACTACTACCACTCCAGCACGTGCAGCTACGAAATGCTGAATGTGCGTGAAGGCGCCAGTAATTCAAGAGCTACAAAAATGACTGACTTGGATTCGTTAGGTTGAGGCAATCCACGAGACCATCGGCGACACCAACTACGGCCACGACAATGATTACTAAAAATGTAGCCTGAAATGCAATCGTGGCATAGAGAGGACAAGCGGCCCCTGAGTGAACGCGCACGCTGCGGCGAGAAATGCGTCCGGGATTCATCTTCTTATTACTTTGTAGGAGGGAATGCATCACTGATGGCAAGAGTAGACTATCTCTATCCGATGGCTTTATCTGAAAGAAGCACCGGCGTTCTGGAGAGAATCCTGGGCGGACACGTTTCGTTAGCCGTCGAGACGAGCTTCTCAGGAACAACCGCTCTCCGAGAGTCCATTGTGATCAGCTTACGAGAATCTGTAGTGATCGTAGGAGCATATTGGCACCCTTTTTCTCGCTAGGCTAGGACTGGGATGGTGGAACCTCAACGCACCCATGATGATGCATGGTCCGTCATGCCACATTTGTTCGAACGAGGTGACTTGCGTTCAGGGCGTAAGAATGGTGGGGTGGGGAAAGGTATTCAGCGGTAAATGATAATCTCACCCTGCGGGTGAGGGTTGCGTTGCGTGATGTGATTTTATGTCACCAGCATGCTGGGGGTGCGTTCCTGGCTAGTGTCAAACTTCTGGTATTCCCGGGATGACACGAAGCTCGCCCCACAGCTCGCCCCACTTCGGGTCATCCCTCAAAAATTTGCCCCTGGCTCGGAAAACACGAAGTTTGGCCGGAGTTTGACACGCGCCAGGAACACACCCTAAATCCAAGCACTGTAGCCTGTGTTTGGGCAGGTGAAGGGTCGAGAAAGACGATGTACATATATCTCAAGGGCAGTTGGCCCGGGCCAAAAAAGAAATGTAGTGTACTGTACGTGTAGACCTCACGTACAGTACAGTAGCAATGTACAGTATGGCAAGGTCAACCAGGTACAGTCCCTACACGCTGGCTAAGTCAACGACGTACAGTACCTTTTTGTTGCGCGGCACCACCCTTTCGAGCCGCGGGATTCTGCAGATTTTCACATTTGATTTTGGGGCGTGCGCGGATTGGTTGGAAATCTCGAATCAACAGGCTCGAAGGCAACAAATACCAGCTCTGTTCACCCTCTGCGGTTCGCTTGGTTCCCTAACGGTTCTTGCGCATTATCGCTTTGGAATGCAATTTATCGATAGAAATAGTTATTTCTGGAAGCAAAACCTCATCTACAGCTTCTCTTAAATCTTCCTCTTTCACAACCCTGCGTGCGTGCAACTAACAGCTGACCTTCACATTTCGACTAATGCGCATGTCCATCACTCAGAGAGTGCCATGGATGCTCCGTCATGGATTTCACCGCGAGCTTCAACCTAAAAAATATGGTACCTATGAAGCTATGGGACTTGTTGCCAGGTCACTCTCCCGCTGTTTCAGTGGTACCAAACCCGTGTGTACTTCAAAGGGTCTATTTCAAAGTGTCATTGCATTTTCTTGCGATATCCCCCACCAAACATCAGATCAGATCCTTTCCCCCACCATCCTCTCACTCTCCCCCTCTCCCTAATTATTCATATACACCCCCCCACTGCTGCACCTGCAACCCCCTATTTCACGGCTCCACTCTCACAATCATCTTGTTCTTTTTTCCCGATACCAACAGCAGCATGCTTCCCCCCACCAAGCCCTCCTCCCCCACCTCCCTCTCCCCCACACTCCCCCCACCGCCCACCTTCTCGTTATTCAGACACATTCCCCCGTGCTGCACAAGCCGCCTTGCTGCCTTGCTGCCTTGCTGCAACTACAACCCCCCTATTTCACCATTTCACCCTCACAATAATCTTGTTCTTCTTCCACTAACCCAGCAGCACCATGCTTTTGAGGCGCCCCTTAATTCCTCACCGCTCCACTCTCACAATCATCTTGTTCTTTTTCCCTGATCCCAGCAGCAGCATGCTTCCCCCCACCAAATCCTCCTCCCCCACCACCCTCTCCCCCTCCCCCACCTTCTCGTTATTCAGATACATCCCTCCCTGCTGCACAAGCCTCCTAGCCGCCCCCTTGCTCCCCACTAGCTTGGACGCCGCTGCCACGTCAGCAACGGTTCGGCCAATCACGTCGGCCCACGGGAGCGAGGTGGAGGGCGCGTCAGCAGCAATGGCTTCGAGCGTGGCTGGGTCTAGTCTGGTGGAGGTGGAACCTGGGGGAAACAATGGGGGGGAGGGTGGTTTGGGTTTGGGGTGAGGGGTTTTGACATATGTTGGGCGCGTCAGCAGCTATTGCTTCGAGCGTGGCTGGGTCTAGTCTGGTGGAGGTGGAACCTGGGGGGAAGAGAGAAGGGGACGTAGGGATTGGGGCGAGAGGTTTTGACATATGTTGGGCGCGTCAGCGGCTATGGCTTCCAGCGTGGCCGGGTCTAGTCTGGTGGAGGTGGAACCTGGGGGAGGGGGAGGTTGGAGGCATGGAATACAGACGAGTCAGCAGCAACTTAAGAGTGGCATCGCCATGGCTAAACCCATCTGGGGCGCACACTTCGAGCGTGGCCGGGTCTAGTCTGGTGAAGGTGGAACCTGGAGGAGGCTTGGAGAGGGGAGGGGGACGGGTAGGGAAGAGAGGCGGGGGGTTGAAGGCAGAGAGGAAGGGGGGTGCGAGATAGCATTGAGGTAGAAACAGGGGCGCGTTGCAGACTCAAGAGCAAAACCACGTGATTGGCTTGGTTGGAAGCTTTGGACAACTTGCAGCTAAAAAAAAAAAACTCAAAGCTCACGCACGAAGCTGTTCTCTGTGAAGGCTGTGCCTATATGATTTATTTATTGTCTCAGCATTGAGCCAGAAGGTGCAGTGAGGGAGTTATCTGGAGCAGGTGGTACCTGGTGCAAGGGCTTGTGTGGCTCTTAGCGCTTCTTGTAGGCCCTCCTCCCCATGCACAAAACGAGTCACCTAGAAAGGGGGATGGGAGAACAGAAAGGGAGAAACATTAGTAAGGAAAAGCTTGATCGTGTTTTTCCCGGTACGTCTTGTATCCCTGTTCCCCATGCACAAAACGAGTCACCCAGTACGGAGGATGGGGAGAAACGGGGCCCATCTGAGCATGCCTACAGTATCCCCCCCACTCGCCCTCCACCCTCGCCCCCTTCCCATCCCACCCCTCCCCTTCCCTCTTCTCCCCCTCCCCTCCCCCCTTCTTCCCCTCCCCCCTTCTTCCCCTCCCCCCTTCTTTCCCTCCCTCCTTTCCTTTGCCGCCCACTTCTCATCTCTCTGCCACTCCGCTTCTCTCTCTTCCATCCCCCACACCACCTCTCTCTCCTCCCCACACCACCTCTCTCTCCTCCCCACACCACCTCTCTCTCCTCCCCACACCACCTCTCTCTCCTCCCCACACCACCTCTCTCTCCTCCCCACACCACCTCTCTCTCCTCCCCACACCACCTCTCTCTCCTCCCCACACCACCTCTCTCTCCTCCCCACACCACCTCTCTCTCCTCCCCACACCGCCTCTCTCTCCTCCCCACACCCCCCGTTCCTCTCTCTCCTCACCTCCTGTGCCAGCAGCTTCTGGGCGGCATTTGGCTCGTAGCCCGGCTGGCACATGGCGGCCTCCCATTGGTCGATCTCGGCCACGGGCAGGAAGGTGAGCATGCGCAGGAACTTGATGACGTCAGCATCAGGTGTGGCAAAAAGGTACTGTGGAGTGGGGTGCGGTTGGGGGGAGTTGGGGGAGGAGGGACGAGGACTTGGCTGTTGTTACAGTCCCACTGGAACGCGATTTCAGTTTCAAGTGTTGATGATGCTGCGCAGCAGCATGTGGTTACCACCACAGCCACCACAGACCACTGGTTACCGCAGCTTACCCATGATTACCGCATCTCACCACTGACCTCACCAGAACTTGTAGGGCGACAGTATGGCAGCAGAGAGCCAAATGGCCCCTCCCTCCGACTTGCCCCTGTGAGAGCATGGCATTACAACACATGACGCATTGTTTCCCCTTGTTACCCCCTTGTTACCCCCTTGTTACCCCGTGTTACCCCGTGTTACCCCTCATTACCACTCGTCACCAAAACTTACCTGGTAGAACTTGTAGGGCGAGAGCATGGCAGCAGACAGCCAGATGGCTCCACCCTCCGACTTGCCAAACTTGCTCCCATCACTACGCAGCAGCAGCGGCCAAGTTAACCCAAACACACTTGGCCCCCGCTCCCCCTGCTCCCCCTCCTGCTGCTCGCTTGACTTCTCCTGGTGCTCCGCTTGCTGCCCCTCCCCCCCTGTGGGCACCCTGGAGGGGACAACCCCTGCTGCCTGCAGCCGTCGAAGCAGGTCAGTGCCGGCAGTGATGTTCCCCCACTGGTCGCTGCCGCCCATCTGCACTGTGATGCCCTTCTCTTTATAGAGATGCACGAAGTCATAGCCCTGGGGAACAATAAGGGGTAGGGGGGGATGTGGAAGTCCCACAGGAGGGTTGGATAGGGGAGGGGAGGGGAAGAAGCAGGTCAGTGCTGCCAGCAGTGATGTTCCCCCACTGGTCACTGCCACCCATCTACAGTGATGTAGCTGATCCCCTCCTCTGACGCCAACCACTTCTTCACACTCTCCTTGCCTCTCTCACATGCACTCTATCTTACCTTAAAGCCCCACCCTCTCACCTTACCCCACTCGCCCTCACCTGCAGCAGCTGGTAAGTGAACTCCATGTAGCTGATCCCCTCCTCTCTATGTTGGACTATACGCTTTTGAATTTTTACATTTCGCGTATATGCGTTTACGTATAAACGTGAATACGTGAAACGGGGACAAATACGCGATACGGAAATCCGGGCAGGGCAAAAAAAACATTTCCAAAAACAAAAGTTCGCGCTTTTTCCGTACGCACGTATACCTACATTTCGGGTCGCGTTTTTCCAACCAGGGGACGTGCAAAACCGAATCGCCACGTTCACCCCACGAACATCCACATTGCGCCCAATCACCCCCAACACCGCGGGACCAACCACGGCACGTCCCCCACCCCCCAACCAATTGGTGGTAAGTATAATTGACCCCACCTCAACACACGTCTCATCCACTCGTCATTCCTGTTCAGTGATGAGAAATGTCAACTCCAGTCCCTTCTGCCAACACTCCGCCATCTGGTCCGTCTACTCAGCCTTCTGACCCTTCAGCCTCGACTTCGGAGGCGCAATGGCTGGAGGAGGATAGTACTCATGTCGTTTTCAAGCACTTCAAAGTTCCCATCCGTCCCGACACAGTAGGGACTGTCCGCGTTTGCAAGTATTGCGCCATCGAATTCAAGGGTGGTGCGTTTCGATGCGCTCAGCATCTCGCGAAATGGAAGGGACAGCGCTCCCGCGACGTCCGCCTGTGCGCTAAGGTTCCGCCCGACGTGCGAGCGGCGATGCGCGCGCATTACGAGAAGAAGACGGCCAACCGCGACGAAAAACGGCGGGCCGAGGATGCTGCGCTCAATGCTGTCGTGGGAGGTGCGAAGAGAGGACGCATCACCGACTTCATTGGCGACGAGTCGCGATGCAAGAAGGGCGAGGCGGACTACGCCGTCAGTTTGTTCTTCGCCGGCTGTCGCATTCCCGAACACCACGCCGACAACCCGTTGTGGCGCAACCTGGTTAGCGCCATTAACAACGCTCCCCACGGTTACGTCGCGCCGGGACGGAAGTACGTGGGAGGTGCTGGGCTTAAGCAGTGCTCCGCACGAGCATCGAGAAGGGGCTTCAGCCAATCGCCGCGAGCTGGAAGAGGGATGGCGTCACCGTCTCCTCCGACTTGATGACCGATCGGTGCGGGAGGCCGCAGGCGAACGTCATGTTAGTCAACGATTCGGGAGCGGTATTCGTGGAGGCTATCGACTGCAACATGGAGTCCAAAACCGGCGGCTACATCGCGTCTCTCCTCCGCCCCATCATCGAGAAAGTGGGGCCCGAGAATGTGGTCGCCCTCTGCATGGACGGCGGCTCCAACTACGGGGTCGCGTGCAAGGAGCTCATGGCGGATTGGCCCCACATACGCACGTGCTCGACCTCCTGATGGAGGACGTGGGGAAGATCACGTGGTGCAAAGACATTGTGGATCTTTGCATCGACATGATCACCTACGTCCGCAACCACCATTTCACCCGCAACTACCTGAGGAGTAAGAAAGTGAAGGGAGGAAAGGGGAAGCAGCTTGTGAAGCCGGCGGGGACGAGGTTCGGCACCAACTACATCGCCCTCTCCAGGCTCGTCGAGCTGCGGTCCACGCTGTCGCAGATGGTGCTGAGCGAGGAGTTCGCCAACTGGTCAGCGGGGGCTAGGAAGCAGACGGCAGATACGTTCCGCGGCCAAGTCCTGGATGATGCATGGTGGAAGAACGCGACCTACCTGGCGGAGCTCTGGGCGATTCCCTTCAAGGTGATGCGGGCCACGGACAGCAGCGCCAAAGGGATGATGGGGACCATCTACGACCTAATGCTCCAGCTGACCGAGGACGTGAACGACAAGCTGGAAGCGGGGGACAAGATTCTGCCGCGGGCGGTTGCGACTGACATTGGGAAGATTGTAAGGCGCCGTTGGGACGAGAGCCTTGCATGCGCTCTTCACGTCGTGGGCCGGATCCTCAACCCGGCAAATCAGGAAGAGGGTATATTCCGCAACGACATGGAATGTACCCGCATCTTCAAGGCCTTCATCGCACGTCACTACGACGGTAAGACGTTCACCAACAAGGACGGTGAGGAGAGGCGTGCCTCTCTTGTTTTGCAGGAGGGGCTCACGGCCTTCCTCACCCTTGAAGGTTCCTTCGGCCTTCCTGAGGCAATTGCCGACAGGGAGGCCGTGAAGGCAGGCAAGCAGTCGATGGTGGCGTGGTGGGGATGGCACGGGACTGACCACCCCCACCTGGCCAGCCTTGCGTGCCGTGCCCTGACACAGCCGGTGTCGGCGTCGCCGTGTGAGCGCGGGTGGGCATCGTTCGAGTCCGTGCACACTGCCCGCCGCAACAGGCTAGGCTCGGAGAAGCTCCGAGACCTAGTTTATGTGACCCACAACTGGCGTGTGGTCCACAAGTACCACAAGATGGGTGAGTCACTGGCGGTGCTTCCGGGCAACATGCCTGAACCCGCTCTGCGGGAGGGATACAACAAGGAGGAGGAAGGCGAGGAGGAGGAGGAGGGGGAGGGGGATGAAGCCGTGCTGGCCGATGAGTACGTGGAGTAAGAGAGGCAGCAGCAGCAGTGTAAGTGGTTGAGGAGCTTAGCAGCAAGAGGAGTAGAGGAGGAGAAGCAGATGAAGGTATGGGGAGTAGGGGAGTAGGGGAGCAAGGGAGGTAGGGGAGTAGGGGAGCAGGGGAGGTAGGGGAGGTAGGGGATGTATCAGTCTAGTAGTTGCTACTATGTGTGTACTTGCAATGCATGTTTGTAATGGGGAAAAAAAAGTTTCATACGCGGGGGAAAACCGAACTGCACAAGGTCAAAATGAACATAGGCAGCGTGACTCACCCCCCCATACTTTTTTACCCTGCCCGGAACCTTTTTTTCCCCTGCCCGGGCGACCGTATTTCGAGCGTATCGTGGGGCTGAAATCGCCCGTATCACGTACGTACGTGAGCGTACAGTACGTACGCGACTGGTACGTGAGTCGCGTATTTTCCAACATAGCCTCCTCTGACGCCAACCACTTGTACACACTCTCCTATCTCACTGTAACTCTTACTTTCTCACAGGAGCTATCACCTTAAAGCCCCTTCCCCCTCACCTGCAGCAGCTGGTACGTGAACTCGGTGTAGCTGATCCCCTCCTCAGAGGCCAGTCGCTTCTTCACACTCTCCTTGCCGCTCTCAAATGCGCTTTCTCACCTGAATGTCCCAGATTCTTACCTGAAAGCACCCCTCTTAACCTCACCTGTAGCAGCACCTGCAGCAGCCCCCTCACCTGCAGCAGCTGGTACGTGAACTCGGTGTAGCTGATCCCCTCCTCTGACGCCAGTCGCTTCTTCACACTCTCCTTGCCCATCATCGCCCCCACCCGCGCATGCTTGCCCACGTCCCTCAGGAACTCAAGCAGCGAAACACCCTTCCACCAGTCGTAGTTGTTCACTAGCTCTAGCCTTCCACCTGGAACGGTCCCTTGGTTTTCCTGCGGCAAGGTGGGGTTTGGGGTGGGGAGTAGCAGGTGGGATGGGGGAATGCATGCCCATCATCGCCCCCACCCGAGCATGCTTGCCCACATCCCTCAGAAACTCAAGAAGCGAAACACCCTGCCACCAGTCGTAGTTGTTCACTAGCTCCAGCCTGCCTCCTGGGATGTCGCCTTGGTTTTCCTGTTGTGCGGAAGGGTGGGTGGGGTGGGGTGGGGTGGGGTGGGGCGTGGGGGAGGGGATTCGGAGTGGCTGTGAGACAGCAGCGACACGCCCAGCCACCAGTCGTACTTGTTCACTAGCTCGAGTTTGCCACCCGGAACGCGGCGAGGCAGTGAGGCACACCTAGCCACCAGTCTTTGCTCATAGCTCAAGTTTGTTGCAAGGGATATCACCTTGGTTCTCCTATTGTCCTATTGCAAGACAGAGGAGGAGCGGGAAAGGGGGGAGGAGGCGGGAGGGTGAGGGTGAGGCGGAACAACAGCACATGTCGGCACCGCGCTGCACCGCACAGCACCGCACCACACAGCACCGCACGGAACACATAAAGGCTTATCAGAGTCGTCTCACCAGATGAGATAGAATGCCTCGAAGGAAGGACCTTGCTGTTCTTATTGCTTCCTATTCATCACCTATTGCTGTTCTTTACAATCGTCTCCTCATCCATCACCGGTCACTCCACACCCCTCCTAGAAGGCTTTGTCGGGGCTTCTAGTTGGTTTGGGGTTTAGGGTTCAAACTCACCGATCGTGACAGGATGTCCTGAAGGACCTTGTATATCCCGTTGCCGTTCTTTGCAATCGTCTCCTCGTCCATCACCGGCCGCTCCACACTCTTCCCCGAGGCGTCCCCCACCTGCGCTCAGCCTGCTGCCGTTGCTTCATGCCAGCTCACACACACACACACACTGACCGGTCGTGACAGGATGTCCTGAAGGACCTTGTAGATCCCACTGCTGTTACGTGCTATCGCCTCACTCATCACCGGCCGCTCCACACTCTTTCCCGAGGGGTTCCCACCCACCCCATGTGCCTGCAGTGCTGGTGAGTGCTAGACTGAAAGCAAGTGTCTGACAGCACAGCACAGCACACACACACACACACACACACACACACACACACACACACACACACTTACCGGTCGTGACAAAATGTGTTGAAGAACCTTGTAGATCCCGCTGCTGTTCCTCGCGATTGTCTCCTCGTCCATCACTGGCCGCTCCACACTCTTCCCCGAGGGGGCCCCCACCCTACGTGCCTGCAGCACTGCTGTGGGCACACACACACTCACCGGTCGTGACAGGATGTCTTGAAGGACCTTGTATATCCCGCTGCTGTTCTTTGCAATTGTCTCTTCATCCATCACCGGCCGCTCCACACTCTTCCCTGAGGGATCCCCCACCCTCATCAAAGCTTCATTCAAGCCCTGAACCCACCGGTCGTGACAGGATGTCTTGAAGAACCTTGTGAATCCCGCTGCTGTTCTGTGCAATCGTTTCTTCATCCATCACCGGCCGCTCCACACTCTTCCCCGACGGGTCCCTGTCTCCAGTCAGCCTGTCACTGCTCTGTGCCAGCACACACACTCACCGGGCGTGAGAGGATGTCTTCAAGCACTTTATAAATCCCACTGCTGTTACGTGCGATTGTCTCCTCATCCATCACCGGCCGCTCCACACTCTTCCCCGACGGGTCCCCCACTCGCGCTGTTGCCCCCCCCAGCAGCGCCACTGCTGTGTGCCCGCAGCGCTGCGCCCATGCGAGAGCTATGATGCCCAGGAGATTTCCCAGGTGCAGTGACTCTGTAGAGGGGTGGAATGGGGTGAGCATTGAACCATGTACCGACAAGATTCACCCAAGGCGTCCCCCACCCGCGCTGTGGGCTCCCTTCCCCCAGCAGCGCCACTGCTGTGTGCCCGCAGCGCTGCGCCCATGCCAGGGGGCAATGATTCTCAAGAGATTCCCCAGGTGGAGTGATTCTGTAGAGGGGAGGAGAGGGGTGAGAGTGAGAGAGGGCGTGGATGGATCATAGAACATTGAACTTCGCGCCCAAAGGGGTCCCCCACTTGGGGCTCAGTAGACTAGAGGGGTGGAAGGGGTGACTTTCTTGGGGGGGCCTTTTCTGGCGTGTGGCAGGCGAGGTGGTTGGAGGCTGGAGGAGCATCAACTTCTCGTGTGAAGGGATCCTGCAAGCAATCATTGGGAGCTTGGTTGGTTGGAGGGAGTCTGCACGGCATCATACCACCCACCTTGAGTGCACTGCTCTGTGTGCATAAGCGTGACCAAACTCCCATCGAAGCGATGGGATTTCTGAAAAAACAAGAAGTGATGCGGGCATGGAAAGAACCTGGAAGAAAGCACCTCGGGAACTCACCAGCGGTGGGGTCGAATCCGACGTAGATCTTCAGAGGGTGCTCTGCCGCTGCTCATGGGTGCACGGGGGGTGAAGAGGGGTGAAGAGGGCTAACAATGGGCGAGACAGCAGTGTGATCAAATAAGCTGGAGACTTTGACAAATTCGGAATATTCCTGTTTCCTTTGCAGGGAAGGGGGGAAAGGGGGGTAAACAGTGAACACCGGAGGGGTGGGTGAAAAACAATGCACGTGTTTTAAAAGAGCGTTGCAAAGCGACAGAGGAGTATGATTGTAACGAGGGCAGGGCAGGGCTCACCTTCCCGGAACGCCTCGCTCGTGACTGCATCAACCAGACCCCTCTCCCTCAACACGTCCAGCAGGTTGGGCCTTGAAGGGGTTAAATGATGGGTGATGATGGGTGATGATGGGTCATAGGGAATGAGAAGATGAGGGAGGGGGGCACAAGGCACAGGCGTGACTGAGTCCACCAGGCCCCTCTCCCTCAACACGTCCAGCAGGTTGGGCCTTCAGTGGAGGTAATGGGTGATGATGGGTGATGATGGGTGATGATGGGTCATATAAGGAATGAGGAAATGAGGGAGGCGGCACAAAGCACGAGCGTGACTGCATTCACCAGGCCCCGCTCCCTTAGCACGTCCAACAGGTTGGCCTTGAAGAGGGGGGTCGGTATGGGTGGTGAGGAGTGGAGAAGGATTAAGAGAGGGGTTGGGCAGGGATGGGTGGCATCACTCGTGACTGCATTCACCACGCCCCGCTCCCTTAGCACGTCCAACAGGTTGGGCCTTGAGTGAATGGGAGGGTTTGGGGGGAGTAGGTGGGGGGAAAGAGGGGCGGTGATTGGTGGTGGTGGGAGACGGGGGTAGAGGCAATGAGGGGGGGGGGGGTACAATGCCCTCTTCCTTAGCATGCCCGGTAGGTTGGGCCTTGAGAGGAGGCGGGGAAATGGGAGGGAGAGAGGGAGGGGGGGTTGGGTGTGGTGTGGTATGGGTGATGATGGTGATGATGGGTGGAGAGGGAAGAGGGAATGAGAGAGGGGACTACTCCTCCGATCCCTCACCTGCTCGCGCTCTCCTTAACTCCCGCCGACGCTCGCTCCGCGACTGCCGCAGCTGCAGCGGATACCACGCCGCCATCTGCGGCGGCAGAGGCGGCAGCAGAAGCGTAGCGACGATAAGAAAACGACGCGCCGCGAGACGACTTGGAAGAGAAATTTCCGGCCGATTTCCGCGCTTTCGGCGCGCCCGAGAGAAAACTAGTACCGCAAATGGACGATGCTGACGTGGCGCTGTGCGGAGCGACAGCTGGGGTTCGAGAACGTGCGGAATGGGCGGGGCTGCTGATTGGATACTGCGCGGCGGGAATATTGAGCGACGAAGCGCAGCGGCAATCGAGGCGCAATGCGCGGTGCGGGATCCGCGGCAATGCGCGCGATGCGGAGAGCCGAAGCATGGCGGTTGGTGCAGCCATGATCTGCGCGGGAAGGCGGCAGCGTAGCGGGGTTCAGGGGAAGAGCGTTGAAGGAGAAACCCAAACAGTGTACGCGGCGATGAGCTTGGCCGCCTCAGAAATAAGTAGACGCGCCGCGAATGCTACTCGGCGGTAAAGCTCCAGCCACCTATCAGTGGTGGATTATTTTGAAAAGTGATTTGAGTGCCACGTCATGCAGCCACAAAGCAACTGCCGTGGGCAGGGCACTGTTGCTCAGCCACAAAACTCAAGTCCCCGCAAAAGAGCGTTCTGCTATTTGCAAGAGATGTATGATGGGTGCGGAATACTGTAGTACATGTGCAAGATAACTTTTCGCGTCTGTGCTAATTCGTTGTTGTCACAAGACCGGAACTCCAAGAGCCAACCCTGCCACCGAATTCCCACCGGACAATTCGAACTGCGATCCCATCTTCCCAGTGCGTGTTTGCGAATGTAATCTTTTCGGGCAGAACCACGCGGCTGCCCGTGTTTAGGGTTGGGGCTCCCCGTGTTTAGGGTTGGGGCTCCCCTAATCGCATGCCATCCAGATGGGGTTTATTTTTTTCTGACCGCGGGCAGATTACGACCCATTAACTTCTTCCAGGCGGACTGTTAGGGATCGCATTTGCGAACCGCGCTGGCCTAATTGGATTGCAGCTGATGTTGTCCCGAATTCGCACAGACGAAAACTGTGAAGGCGTATTCCACTTCCACGAGTCTCGGCAAAAATCGTCCATCCCACTTTCCATGGAGCTTCACACGTGTGGCTGTTCGACACCCGTACCTCTCGGTTCGGATGTTCGGCTCGCGACACGGTACGTTAGGAAACGAGCCCTCAGATTCCTTTCCAACAGATTCCTTTGCTTGCCAATAGGGATGCGCATGCAAGCTTCGCCACGCCACACCAGCATTGCAGCTCCTCGCTAAGGGCGCATTCCTAGCTCGTGTCTGACATCAGGTCATCCGTCCTTGGAAATTCGGAAGACCCGAAGTGGTTTGAAATAGGGGCAAATCAACATTGAGAAGAGACAAATCAGAGACTAAGGGCGGATGACCTGATGTCATACCCGCCATAGGAATTACCCTAAGCTGATGTCGACCAGCTAGTCAGCTAGAACTGTTCGAGTTCAGGCGCTAGTTTAGCGATCTGTAGACGGTGTTGCTGTTAGATCTCTGCCGAGTCGCCGCTTGCGACTCTGGAATCGGAATAGATTGCAGGCTTTAGAAATTGAAGGTTAGAGTTTGAGTGAAATTTGTCGTATTTTCCCAAAACAGGAAGTTGGATAGGGCTTCCTTGAAATTAATGTGTTTTGTTTTTTCCAGTCGTCGGAACTCTAGTAGGATCCGACGGATAGCCGCTGCGTAGTGTTAAGAAGTGAAGGTGCTAGAGGAGATTACGGAGAGTTCTCTAAAGACGTCTATAAACATCTCCTGTTCGTTTCGACTGCTAGCCGTTGCGTAGTACTAAGAAGTGAAGCTGTCAGAAGAGTGGAAAGGGACTGCGCTTACCATTTCCGCCTTTTGGCGCTCCGCTTCTGATTTCGAACGCGCCTTGAGCCGCGCGGAAACGCCCTAAGCCGCGCGATAACGCCCAAAGCCTTGCGAAAGCGGTCTAAGCCGTGCGAAGCGCCTTACGCCGTGCTTCGGCGGCGTAGAAACGTGAACGATCCAGACCGGGATGACGTGGATTGGGGAATGGATCGGTAACCTGCCGCCGCCGCTGCTGCTGCTGCTGTCCCTCGTAAGTGACTCATTGGCTTCTCAATCATTCGAGGTGTTCAGTGTAAGAAACACATCGGTTTCCGATTTTGCTTAAAATTCGCTCTTCTGGGGGGGCAAAAAAGCCCGTTTTATTCTGTTGATTGAATCATTTAACGCCTTCGCCTTTTCCAGTCGCCTCGAAATTTGTCTCACTAGCGTAGGTGATCCTGAGGTGACACGTGTCAACGATTTACAGTCTGAGTTGACTGGCTGTATGAGTGGTGTCTTTAGTTTGAAAGTGAAGAAACCCTTGGGAATGTCTAAAGGGACATTGGGAACGTGAGGGTCACGGTGCGAAGTGTTGGGACTTGAAGCTTGCAAGATTATCTTCTTATTTTCTTCTCACCCGTATTTCCGCAATGCCACATGTGCGCGTCGCTCTATACTGAATCCCAATTCCAGTCGTCTCATTTCTCACCTTTTCACCGCCTTCTGACTTTCATTTCTTCACAAACACAGGCGCTCGTCGCTCTCGTCTGGATCCTAGCCCTCTTCATCTCACGGCTCGTTCTCCTGAACGCAGGGATCAGGTGGGCATCCTAATAGGCCCTGCAGATTGCTGCCAGAGCCACGTGGCAAGTTTATTGCTGGAACCATGTGGCACGTTGCTGTTTTGTGCCCACATCTCTCTAATAAAAGCGGCACGGAGAGTGAAGCACTGCTTATGAAGGCCCACAGCTTCGGTGAAAGACGCCCTTTCTCTGCCCTTTCTCACTGCCGCTTCCCTGCTACTGGAGTGGGGACAAAATCCCTTTCACTCTCCTTCCTCAGACTACGCTAGTCTCCATCTTCCCCCCAACCCCAGTGGCACGGAGCATGAAGCACTGTTCATGTTTGCCCCTAGCTCCCGAGAAACGTTGCCACTGCCACTATTCGTCCTCTCTGCTGGATCTCTGCTACCAGCGACAGGGCACTCTTTCACTCTCCTTTCTCATGCTGCCTTAGTCTCACCATCTCTTTCCCCACATCCCCTCGCCGTCCTACCAACAGTGGCTCGGAGAGGAAAGCACTGTTCATGGAGGACCCTACCTCGGTGGACAAGGTGCCTCTGCCCTCGCTGTTTGCTCCGGCAGAGCCTCAGTGGCATAGAGTGCCTTTGCCCCCCCCTCTCCCCGCCCTACTACTGTTTGCAGTGGCACGGAGAGGGAGGTACTGTTCAGGGAGGACCGTACCTCTGTAGACAAGGTGTCCCTGCTTCTCTGCCAACTGGCGCTTGTTTGCTAATTCTTCTTCGCTTCCCCCCGTTCTTACCAGCAGTGGCACGGAGCAAGACGCACTGTTCATGGAGGATTCGAGCTGACTTTTGAGTCGACTCAAAAGTCTTCCCCCCGTTCTTACCAACAGTGGCACGGAGCAAGACACGATGTGCATGGAGGATTCGAGCTCCGTGGACAAGGTGTCGTTGCCTTTTGAGACGTCTCAAAAGTCGTCTTACCAGCAGTGGCACGGAGCAAGACACACTGTGCATGGAGGATTCGAGCTCCGTGGACAAGGTGTCGTTGCCTTTCCCCACGGCTCACTTGCAGTGTTGCCCTTTTTCTTCTCCTCCCTCCTCCCCCCCGTCTCGTTTGCAGCGGCTCGGAGCGCGACGCACTGTTCATGAAGGAGGACCCTACCCCCATTATGGACAAGGTGCCGCTGCCCTCGCTGTTCCATCCAGCGGATGAGCATCAGGTTCTTCCCCTTCCCAATTCCCTCTCCTCCCCCGTTTTGCCCTACCAACAGCGGCTCGGAGCAAGACACACTGTTCATGGAGGACCCTTCCTCCGTGGACAAGGTGCCGCTGCCCTCGCTGTTTGCTCCGGCCGAGAAGTACCTCACTGTGGTGTGCCCTGCTTATAACGAGGACAGAAGAATTGCCGCCACTTTGGACGAAATTATCAGGTGGGGAGGGCATGGGAGAATTCTTTTTAGAGTGTTGAAAAGGGTGGAATTACGATAGTTACCCTGCTTATTACGGGGACACCATAATCTCGGCCACACTGTATAGACCTTTGGAGGAGATGAGTGATTCATGAAGGAATGCTTATGGGGTACTGGGTGGGAAGGGTTGTATGGCAGCCCTTGAGACTCAAAAGGGTTGTATGGTGGTAGTGGTTTATCCTGCCACTATTGAATACAGGACAGCAATTTCACAGCCAGTCAGAAGACACTGGTGTTTTTGAGTCGACTCAAAAAAGACACTTGGGTGTGGACGGAGTATTGCATTCTCATTTTCTTTGGCAAAATGCTTGCAATCTATAGCGGGTACTGCTGGTTAAGAAGTTAATGACACGATGATAGAACTGAATACATGCAAATATTGATTTGCAACCTATTTTTGAGACACTGTTTAGGTACCACTCTCTCACACACACAGACCCCCCTCCGCCCCCTCACCCCTCCTCCCCTTCCCCCCAACACACACACAAAACCGACTAAGTTTGCAAGTATTTCCAATGTTTTGACCCCATTGCTTCCCCTCTCCCCTCCACTCTCCTCCTCTCCCCCCGCCCTCCACTTCCCTCCCCTTCAATCCCCTCCCCTCGCTCAAGCAGTTATGTGCAGGAGCGATCAGCCAAGGATGCAGCGTTTACTTACGAGGTATTGCACCACACTGCACCACGCCATGCCACACCACACCGCACCGCACCGCACCTCACGTCACGTCACTGCACCATTCTGAGGCCATGCGTATTGGCTTGGCACCTGCCTAGTCATGCCCATCCCTCAGGCACAGCACAACAAGCGCACCAAGTGCCCATGCTTGTTGTCATCGTACATTTTCTAGCTAGTTTACTCAAAGATCGACCTGCCTAGACATGCCCACCCCTTAACTTGGCTTGCAAACGCACCAAGCGCCCATGCTCCTTGTTATCGTGACTCTCCTCCCCCACACCCCTCCCTCCCTCCCTCCCACCAGGCCCTAGTGGTGGGCGATGTCACGATGGCAGCACGGACAACACTGTCGCTGTCGTGGTTTATTTGACTTCCTCCCCCTCCCGCCGAAGGGTCGATGATCCTCCTCCTCCATCACCCCCTCTTCCTCCCCTCTCACCAGGTCCTAGTGGTGGACGATGGCAGCACGGACAACACTTTGGGAGTCGTGATTGCCTCTGTTCTCTCCCCCCGCCCTGTTCTTAACCCCCCTTTCCTCCCTCTCATCAGGTCCTAGTGGTGGACGATGGCAGCACGGACAACACAGTGGGGGTCGTGTTTGATTATATCAAAAGGCTCGGGATCGACCTCGTGAGGGTGGTGAAACAGCGATTCAACCAAGGGAAGGGAGCGGCTGTCAGAAAGGTGGGTACAGGTGGGTACAGGTGGGTACAGGTGGGTACAGGTGGGTATGCGAGATGATCAGTGAAATGGGATGGGGAGACGGAGTTTGAGCTCCTTGGAAACGACCGCGTGAGAGTGGTGAAGCAGCGAGTCAACCAAGGGAAGGGCGCGGCTGTTAGGAAGGTGTGTGTGCGACAGAAAGCAAGGTGGGTATGCAAGTGAATAACTGGGAGGGGGAGTGAGTGAGATTCCAGAGCGGCTTGGAAACGACCGCGTGAGAGTGGTGAAACAGCGAGTCAACCAAGGGAAGGGCGCGGCTGTTAGGAAGGTGTGTGTGTTTCCTTAGTAAGGTGGGTATGCAAGTGGATAAGTGGGAGGGAGGGTGGGGTTCTGGGAATGGATTGGGATCGGACAAGTGAGAGTGGTGAACAGCGAGTGAACTACTCTCACTTGTACCGAATTCGGGGAATGCCTGCTGGCAGAAAGGTATGTGTATGGCACACAACAAGAGGAAGGAGGGTATGCAAGCCGGTAGTTGGGGGATGGGGAAAGGAAGCTTTATCCTCACTTATTTCCCTACCCCTTCTCTGTCTCGTATTACCGTGTATGCCTTTTATCTCTTGCTCCTTCTTTCCCCCCTCCTCCTTTTGTGCTCCCTGTCCCCTCCCCACACCCCACCCCCCTCTCCCCCCCCCTCCCCCCCCTCATCAGGACGCTCTATCCTCACGCAAGGAGCTGATCTTTTTCTTTTTGCCATCTCTCTCGCTCCTCCCCTCGCCCGCTTCCGTTTGCATCAGGGTGCCTTATGCTCGCCCGGGGAGCTTATCCTTTTTGCCTCCTTACCCCACCTCCACCCCCACTCCCCCCCTTCTCTGTTGCGTGTTTCCATCCTTCCATCAGGGTGCCTTATGCTCGCGCGGGGAGCTTATCCTTTTCTTGGATGCGGACGGTGCGACGCGGTTTACAGATCTAGAGAAGCTGGAGAGAGAGGTGAGAGAGAGGGGAGAGAGGGAGGGGGGGAGAGAGAGGGGAAGAGCGGACGGTGCAACACGGTTCACAGATCTAGAGAAGCTGGAGAGAGAGGTGAGGGAGAGGGGAGAGGGTGGGGCGTGAGAGACTGAGAGAGAGGGGAGGAGGAAAGAGCTCTTTCTTTTTTTGAGTCTGCAGAGGGAGCGACGCAGTTCACAGACCTGGAGAAGCTGGAGAGAGAGAGCTGAGGAGAGAGGGAGAGGGAGATGAGGGAGACGGGAGAGATGAGAGTGAGTGAGTGAGTGAGTAAGCAGGGAGAGGTCAATGTAGTTAACTCTGATACCTTCTTTAGGTTCATGACTCATTTTTCTCTTTACTCTGGTCCTTTGTAAATCAAATTGTCAGTGTCAATATGAGTGTCAGTTTTAGTGTCAGTGTCAGTGTCAGTGTCAGTGTCAGTGTCAGTGTCAGTGTCAGTGTCAGTGTCAGTGTCAGCATCAGTATCACTGCCTGTTCCTCAAAACTCCCCCTAGCCTATTCTCGTCTCATCTTGTTACAGATTGTCAGCATGGCCAAGGGGGGACCGGTTGACAGCCAATCACCTGTCGCCACGTGTCCTGGCATTGGCAGCGCCTCATTGGTGGCTTTTGGTTCGCGCGCTCACCTTGAGAAGAAAGCGCTCGTCACGGTGAGTGGGCACCAAGAGGTGATGTAACGGTTTTTAAGTGGTTACTCCGTGGTCGCTAAGTGGAGATTATGTGCTCATTCTGAGAAGAAAGCTCTAGTCACGGTGAGTGGACAGTTAGTGGTTGCTAACTGGTATCGCAACTCATGCGCTGCTCGCTCTTGGCTTGCTCTTGGCTCGTACACATCATTGTCATATCGCCATTGTTTCGGTATCCCTCCCACCCTCCTCTCTTCTCTCCTCCAGCGCAACTGGCATCGCAGCGTCCTCATGTATGGCCTCTGCTTTGCAGTGCTCTGATCTCTCTCCTCATACCCACCATCATCATTTTCCTCGTGTTTCTCTCTCCATGTGCTTCTCTCTCAGCGCAACTGGTATCGTAGCGTCCGCATGTACGGTTGTTACTTTGCTAGTACCATTCGCATGGCACTCATTACTGCTGTGTGGTGAGGTGCCTTTTCGTTCTCCCCACCACCCCTCTCCGTCCCCACAGCGCAGGTGGTAGTGCAATGTGCTCATGTACGGCTTCTGCTTTGCAGTGCTGATTCTCCATCTTTGTGCCTTTTGTTTCGAATTCCTCCCCTCCCGCGCTCCCTTCCTCTTCTCTCCCGCAGCGCAAGTGGTATCGCAACGTGCTCATGTACAGCTTCTACTTTGCAGCGCTCCTTTTCCCGCGTACCTCTCATCATGATTGTTGCTGTGTGTCTCTGCCTTCCCCATTCCCACCGCAGCGCAAGTGGTATCGCAATGTGCTCATGTACGGCTTCTGCTTTGCCGTGCTCCTTTTCCCGAGTACCTCTCATCATGCTGGTAGCTGTGTGTCTCTGCCTTCCCCATCCATTCCCATCACAGCGCAAGTGGTATCGCAATGTGCTCATGTACGGCTTCTACTTTGCAGTGCTGCTTGCAACAGGGGGGACGGGAGTGAGAGACACACAGGTGAGGGGGGAACACACGTGAGGGGAGACCTTTCAGACGTTTCAAAAGTTGGAGGGGGGGGGGGGGGAGGGTGGAAATATGTGGGTAATTAACTTACGGTAAAGGAAAACAATCTTTAGGTTCAAACCAAGCATGGGTTTTCTTCTTGTCTCCCTTGTGCCAACTCGCAGTGCACTTCTCTTGGGCATGTTCTCATTTCTATCCTTTCCTTGTTTTGATTTTTATCCTTTCCTTGTTTTCATTTCTATCCTTTCCTTGTTTTCACTTCCCTCTATTGCAGTGTGGGTTCAAAATGTTCACTCGCTCAGCTGCCCGAAAACTCTTCCGCAATCAGAGGCTCAACAGGTAAGCTGGCCGCCAGCCTGGCTATGCATAATCATATAACGATTGTTATGGAAACAGATTACAGAATTGTGTATGCTCCTCACTTCTTCTCACATATGTCCCACTTCACAAATTGCTAGTTTTCCTGGTGCTTTCTGTCCCCTCTCCTGTCAACCATCTTCCAGTGGGCCTGTGATGCATACCTGTGCAAAAATATTAAATTTTCCAAGTCGTTTCAAAAGCCTTTTGCTCCCTTTTTCCATCATTCTCGTTCCTTTTTCCCATCAATCCCCTCCAGATGGACATTCGATGTGGAGTTGCTGTACCTGTGCAAGAAGCTGCACATCATGTTTAAACGTCTCATTACCTCTCCCTGCTTCCCTTTCCCATCGATTCCCTCCAGATGGACCTTTGATGTGGAGTTGCTGTACCTGTGCAAGAAGCTGCACATAAGGGTGGCCGAGGTTGCAGTTGCCTGGACGGAGATCCCAGGGTCCAAGCTCCGGCCTACCAGCATACTCCATATGCTCTTTGAGCTTGCCCTCATCCGCATCGGTTACGGCCTGCGCATTTGGAAGATCAAACAGGACCTCATGAACAATTAGTATGTGAAGACTCTGGTGACAACATTGTAAAGGGACGTGGTGGCTCAAACAATAGCATTTAATTGAGTTCCTTCACGTGCCTGCCAGCAATTACGATGGTTGGATAGCATAAGGCTTGTTAAAAGTGTGCAATCCCAAAATCCCCTTCACCTGTGCACATTGTGCCTTCTCAAGTACCGGTAGTGACAGGAGGGGGGAGGGCGTGAGTGAAGGGAAACTTGATCAAGGTTGTTATAGGCCTGTACAGGGATAGACTATAGAGGACACTGTTAGGAATCAAGCTCCCCATTCATGATGGGGCACATGAAGGAGCCCTTGTGCTGCTGTTTTTCCAGGGCTTTGTCTTTACTTCGAAATAATTATTGTACAGATACCTAGCAGAAGCGATAATGTACACACTGGGGGTTACCACGCCCCACATTCCCCTAACTATATTGTATCAGCATGGTGTTGTCACATAACACCTGCACGAGGGATCATACACATAGCGGACGCATGTGCTCGCAAAGGATGCTGTATCCATGCTGCTGCTAGTCGTTGTAACTTGCAACAGACGCCTGTGGGCTATTTTCCCCCAAGAAACAGGAGAACTTCCCGTACTGGTGGTTGTTCCAGAGCCATCCACAGGATACGATGCATAGAAAATGTTTCCTATGATCTCCGGAGGGCTGCTGCCGGGCTTTTCAAGAAGGCGGTAAATCAGGTACGCTGTGGCCCATTTGGAAGTGATTGAGACGGATTCAGGAACCCGAATAACCAGGATCGCTCCATAGATTCGAGCGATTGTTTTCTGTTTGTAGTTATTGTACAGGTACGAGGCGATAGCATTGTCAATGAATGAAGGAACAGTTGCTTGAAATCCAAGGCCCTGCATAGACATTCAGCAGAATGTCAGAGGCTCATTTTTCTGGAACAAGAACGAGGTTATGTTGCAGGGTGCAGCTTACCGTAAATGTGACGTTGGAGCTGTGTTTTGCGACACTAAGTGTTGTTGGTGCACCCTCCACAGTCAGATCACGAGGATAATCATTTGATGTGCACAGGTGCACATCTTGGCTGGCGATCTGGTTCTGAGAGACGAGAGAAACAACGTATGACGAATCCTGGACGCCTGCTGGGAGCTCAGCCATAGTTGCTGTCGTAAAACCGCCATCCGAAGAGTTTTGGATGTACACATCGACCAGAGAGTCAGGTAGTCAAGATCTTTGACCTGAAAAACGGACACTAGCAAGTATGTTGTGAGAATGTGGGTCAACAAGCCACTTTTTGCCAGATGGCAGACTTGGGCTAGCTTGACAGGACAGCAATCCGAGTCATCTAACAATTCAAGCAGGAAGATGAAAAATGCTTACTCGCTAGCTTTGAACTGCCAATGTATAGGAAATCTGCCTCTGTGGCCATGGTTCCTGTAGAAGACAAGAGATTTGCGGCCTCCGTTGTGGACTGGAGCAGCGGGACGCCATATGCAGCTGTCCTGTTGTTCCCCAGGCACAGAGCGTCCACAGGTGCTTGGTACCTCTGTAATGGTGGGCATTTTGACAGAACAGATGGACTCAGACTGAGAACCAGTGACTAGAAGGAAACCATAGTCGCTACGAGCAACGAGGAGTCGTTCTACTGCCGGCTAAAGGAGGCGGAAATTGGTAACATCGTACCGTTAGCACCACATCAAGCTCTCCGGAAGCCAACGCGAAGAACGAAATGGCTAAGTGAGTGACCAAGATTATCCGAGGAATTTGAGGAGCCATTTTCGTTGGATGAGCAATCAGAGTCGCAAATTTATGGATGGTAGGTATGTGATGCCACCGCAACTGCTGACACTTTATATGTGGACTCGTAATACTGCCTATGAAAACTAAGGAGCTTATGACCGTATCGCAGAATGCACGACACCTGAGTGGACGACAATGCCAGACTGTCACCCCCTGGCAATGCCATTTTGCGGTTACCTGTTTGCTTGAACCCGTTTATTCGTTCACAGCCCATCCCGCAGGTTGCGGGGAAACCATGATTGAAACATGGCGCCAAGTCCTCCACATCAAAGCAACCACGTCAGTCAGTTTACTAAGACAATCTCCATCATCGGTAATCTGACCGTTTTGCATGCCGCTTCTCAACAACATTCTACCGACACGCACATGCACTGCCTCTGTCCCAACAAGGTCCATCTGTCGTCGCTAACAATCGTTTGCCCGGTCGCTAGCATCGTCAAACCCAAAATTAGGGAGCAGTTACAGAAACACAAGGATTTCGCCTTTCGGTGACGAATGGCATTGCCGAATGGCTGCATTGCTGCTGCGTACGTGACTGACTCCCTCAGCCACAAGTACCGTCCAGCAGCATCAAGCAGCATATGGCTTTCCTCGCGACTCATCTGGACCGTCCGACAATCTCTACAATGATGAGCGCCTCGAAAGAGGTGTTGATGAGATCCCAAGAGGTAGTTACGGTTTCCACAATTCTCGCTGAGGCCCAACTGATCCATCTCGCGAGTCGATTCTCGCATTTGTTTTCCCGAGGGAGTTGGCCTGTGGAGAACCCCTTGAAAAACCCAACTCAAGTACACTGTTACGCTGTTTCGCCGAAGTAGGTTGTTGTTCGCGACCGCTTGGTGCGTAACGGACACATGTTGCGGTTGTACCCCGACAACGAAAGAGCGGGCCGCCCAAACAGAAGCTGAGGTTGCAGCAAACCATGCGTATTGATCAACCAGCCATGACTACATAGGTACACCTTACACTAATGCATTCAATCATAACTTACAAAATAACAAAAGAATCACATGTTACCAGGTTTTAGCACCTTGTGCACAGAAAGGTGAACCTGAGAAAGCCGTCAATCAAAGAATCTCTGTACATTACGGTAATACACTGCTTGTTTTCAAGTATGTTTGGAATGGGTTAGTATCCATTCGTGCCCTGAGAGAACAAAATACACACAAATAGGCGAATAAATTAAGCAAGGGGATGCAGGGAGTATGATTACAACTTCAGAATGAATGCATAACGTATAAATGTGCGTGCATGGAAATAAATACAAGACCAAGTGTGTGGAACCATGGAAAATGTGGGAATGAGGGGAGGGCTTCAGGCTAAGGGCGTATTCCTGACTTCGTGTCAAGAACAAGTTGGTGTCAACCCATAACTTTGGAGCGCACGTGATTGGCCAGTTGTTACTTTTTAACCAATCGCATGCGTTCCAAGATTTTGGGTTGACACAAACACAGCTTGACACGAAGCCAGGAATACGCCCTAAGGGAGGGAAGGGAAGAGGAGTGGGTGGGGAGCAAGGGGTAGAGGAGGGTGGCCGTGGAGGAACGAGGGATGGGAGCGAGGAGAGGCGAGGGGAAAGGGAATGAGGGGCCATAGGCATAGCTTACCAAGAACATCCACAGCAGACATGCGCTTTGCAGGATATTTTTCCAGCATGCCCTTCAGCAGCAGGGAAGGAAAGAGGGGGCATATAGCTTACCAAGAGCAATAGGTTACCAACAGCCATAGCTTACCAAGAACATCCACAGCAGACATGCGCTTTGCAGGATCTTTTTCCAGCATGCCCTTCAGCAGCAGGGAAGGAAAGAGGGGGCATATAGCTTACCAAGAGCAATAGGTTACCAACAGCCATAGCTTACCAAGAACATCCACAGCAGACATGCGCTTTGCAGGATCTTTTTCCAGCATGCCCTTGAGCAACTCCTTCGCCCCCGCCCCGATTTTCTTCCACCGGGCAGCTTTGAACTTCAACGGCCTCTCCCGAATCGCCTCAAAAATCTCCTCGTTGGTGTCGGCAAAGAAAGGCGGCGCGCCGCAGAGGAGAGTGTAGAGCACGATTCCGGCACTCCAGATGTCAGCTTCTGGCCCGTAGGAGCCTGCTAGAACCTCTGGCGCGATGTAGTAGGGCGTGCCGACAAACTCCGTGAGCGGTGTGCCTGTGGCAGCAAATTCAAGGCACATTCATGGGAGCACACGGAAGGCACACACGCAGAGAAGGCAAAAGGCAACAGGATGAAGAAACCCGTCTCTGCACGCCCATTCACTCATTCGTAGGCTCAAAAATCACAGCACTCCAACACCAATCACATCCAAGACGTGTCATCGTGTGTCATCATCCCAGTTTATGAGCAAAATATTCTCCGGCTTCTCATCCCAGTGCACAGTCCCCTCCCTGCACGCACCGTTCTACACCATTCTGCACTGTTTTGAACGCACCGTCTTGGAACCTCGCCGCGACGCCAAAGTCAATCAGGTTGATGCACGTGTCGTGTCGTCCTCCCGGTCCATGAGCAGAATGTTCTCCAGCTTCACATCCCGGTGCACTATCCCCTCCCTACATGCACCGTTCTACACCGTTCTGCAGAACGTACATTCTTGGAACCTCGCCGCGACGCCAAAGTCAATCAACTTGACGCACGTGTCGTCCTCGCGGTCCATGAGCAGAATGTTCTCGGGCTTCACATCCCGGTGCACTATCCCCTCCCTACATGCACCGTTCTACACCGTTCTGCACCGTTTTGAACGTACCTTCTTGGAACCTCGCCGCGACGCCAAAGTCAATCAACTTGACGCACGTATCGTCCTCGCGGTCCATGAGCAGAATATTCTCGGGCTTCACATCCCGGTGCACGATCCCCTGCGAGTGGCAGTACAGCAATGCCTCCACCACTCTCACCAGCACCACTGCCGCCGCCTCCTCCGAAAACCCAACTCTCCCCTCCGCGCTCCCGTCGCGGCTCCTGCGCGCATTCTCCTTGCTCCAGCGCTGCTTGATTCGGTCGAAAAGGTCCCCCCCTCTAGCGAGCTCCATGACGATGTGGATGTGGCGGGGGTCCTCTATGGCCTCGTGGATTTCAATGATGCTCGGATGCCCCTTCACCTGCTGCAGCATTGCTACCTCCTTCCGCACGTCCTCCGCGTCTTCTGCTGACTGGATTGGGGGAGGGTGAAGGGCAGGGGTGGGGGAAAGAGGAACTGAAGTGGTCAACTTTCTTCCTCCGGGTTTCCTGCTAGAGTCAGGTCCGCCCCCCTCTCTCCCCCTCTAGCGAGCTCCAAGACAATGTGAATGTGCCCAACGCCTAGCTCCTCCTCCCCCACATCGTACAGCCGAGTCAACTCCCTGGTTACTAGATGTTACAACATACATGACTCCGAACGCTTACCTCGATCTTCTGCTTGCTGATGGTCTTGCAGGCGAGCAGGGCCCCCGTCGCGCGGCTCACACACAGGCGAATCACCCCAAACTGCCCCACGCCCAGCTCCTCCTCCCCCACCTCGTACAGCCGAGTCAGATCCCTCTAGTTGCCTAATACAAAAACAACACTCCGAACGCTTACCTCGATTTTTTGCTTGCTGATGGTCTTGCACGCTAAGAGAGCCCCCGTCGCACGGCTGACACACAGGCGGATCACCCCAAACTGCCCCACGCCCAGCTCCTCCTCCCCCACCTCGTACAGCCGCGTCAGCTCCCTGTATGGCCGCCGCAGCACGTATGCTGTGGGCCCCGCTCCCCCGCCCTCTGCCCAGGAGGAGATGCGGCGGTGGGTGCGGGGGCTTGGGGGTGGGCGAAAGGGGTTCTGAGGAGGAGCATGAGACGGCACGGTTTGAGGTGGCACGGTTTGAGGTGGCACGGTTTGAGGTCCGGTTTGAGGACCGGTTTGAGGACCGGTTTGAGGTCCGGTTTGAGGTGGATCGGCTTGAGGTGCAGTCTGGGGTGCGGTTTGAGGTGCGTTTTGAGGTGCGTTTTGAGGTGCGTTTTGAGGTGCGTTTTGCGGTTCACCATGAGGTCCCTTAGCGTGAGTAGCAGGGTTCGTGGAGGGGTGGGTGTGGGGGCCTGGGGAAGGGCGGTGGAGGTTTGTGGGAGGGGGGAGCGGGAGGGGCTTGGGGCTGTGAGGAGGGTGTGGAGGAGTAACAGGTTTGGCTGTGCCGCTTCCGCAGCTGCTGCTGCTGGTAGTCCTTCTGCCGATGCTGCTCCTGGTGCTAGTAGCGATGCTGGTTCTGCTGCTGCTGCTCCTGCTGGTGATGTTGCCACTGCCACTGCGGCTGCTCGTGGTGCTGGTGGTACTGGCAGGGTTGTGCGAGGAGCACGAAAGAGCAGCGTCTGCATCTGGGGAATCTCCAGGCACCTGAATATTCACCTGAAGAATCCCCTGCCTTGGCATCTTTCCTTTCCCTGCTGCAATCCCTGCTGTAATCCCTGCATTCTCATTCACAGGCTGAACCTCCTCCGATTTGCAATCCTCATACACATCATCAGCTTCACTCTCCTCCTCCCCTCCATCACACACAATCACCGCCACTGCTTCCCTTTCTGCCACCTCTCCAACCGAAGCTTCTTGAGAATTCTCAAAAACCACCCAGCCTTGATTATCAACCCTCTCTCCTTCAAACCCTTCCTCCTCCTTCTCCTCCTTCCCTTCATCCTCCACCTCCCCCTCCCTTTCCTTCTCCCTCTCCTCCCATTCATCCTCGCTACAATCTTCATAATCCATATCAGCCTTCCTCCTCCTCGGTGTAGTCAGACTGTAGATATTCAGATCCATGCTGCCCGTCCGCCGAACCCTCCCAACCTTCAGGTTCGGGTTCCCGAGCCTCTCTTTATGGAGGATCGGGCTACGAGGCCCCACCAATTCCCCAGGCGCGTCGCAATCCCTCAGCCTCTCCAATCGCGAGCCTCGCATTTCTTTCAGCACTTCCCGTGCACTCTGCCTTGGTCTCTGCCTTTGCTTCTGCGCACCTCTCCTTCCTTCCATCCCCTCTCTTGCAGCTCGCTCTTTCTTTCGCTGCCCGTTCACCTGCCCGGATTTTCCCACCTCCTCCTCCTCTCCTGGGGATTGCAGCACCAGCTCGCCTTGCCCCATAATTTCCAAAACTGCCCGTCGCCTCCTCCCATCTGCCCCAACCACTGTAACCAGCAAAGCCAGTTTATCCCCCCCTTTCACCCCTCCAACCTCCCTTACCCCACTTACTCCCACCCCCGCCATTTCCTCTTCTTCCTCCTTCTCCTCCTCTCCCTCATTCCGTGCTCGCTCTGCTGCCGTTCCGCGGCTGCTCGCGTGGGAAACAGCGTGACTATAACGAGGGTCGATCAACTCAGCTCCGGCGCGCACGAGCCTTCGCACAGAGTCACCAGCCTCCTGAGACCGGCCCCGGGACGGGCTGTTCTTATAACGAAGGTCGTGCTGCTGCCGCTGCTGCTCCTGCTGCCGCTGCTGCTCCTGCTCCCAGTGCTGCCGCTGCTGCTGCTGCCTGTACTGCTCCTGCACGCTCGGTCGCACAGAAGGCCGGTTTGCCATCTCGCGTTCCTGTAACGGAGGCTGTTCTCGTAACGCATGTGCTTGTAACGCGCGGTTTACTGTAGACCCGTCCACGAGCTGGTAACCGCAGCTGGGGCAGAACCGGAAGTGCGGGCAGAGCAGGGCCCGCAGATCCGGAACCTTCCCCGCATCTTCCTGCTCGTAACGACCACGTTCACCACCATAATCTCCTCTGCCATAGCTGCTACTGCTGCCATCGCGGCTAGTGCCGCGCTCGTCGTACCCGCCGTGATCAGCGCGATTCTGAGCGGCGTAACGAGGAGACTCTCGAGCAGACTCGCGATCGGCGTAACGAGAATCTGCCCGAGAATCTGCCCGAGAATTTGCGCGAGAATCTGCCCGAGAATCTGCGCGAGAATCTGCGCGAGAATCTGCCCGAGAATCGCGGGATGCTGTGGTGGTGGAGGAACCTCCAGATCTGCTCGACCTCACAGATCTGCTGGTAGTGCTCGGAGCGCCCATCAAAGCGCGACCCATCTGCGACTCCATCTGCGACTCGACCTGACGCCCATGCGGAGGCTGAGACCCCATGGGAAGGTCTGAAGGGAAGGGAGAGTCGCCGCCGCGACTGGCAATCGCGGATGGCAGGTCGCTAATAAAAGAGCCCTCAGACAAATCGACGGTGCAAAACGAACCCTCGAGCGCCTTTCGCGTTTCCAGCACGCTTTGATCTTTCTCCTCGTCGTTCTCCTCATCCTCTTCATCCTCTTCATTGTCGTCCCCGTTATCATTGTAGTCGTTTGTAGCAGGCGAGCCACAAATGGGGGGAGATGCGCAGGGCGGGGAGAGGGGCTCGTACGGCTGCCCTGTCAGGTCGAGAGGCGATAAGGAAGTGCCAGGAGAGCTCCACGTGGACTGGTTGTCCACGTTGGACAGTGCCACGCTGGCATAGGTGTAATTAGCACTGGAATCGGCTCCGCTTTCTGGGATTGGCGCCACGCTAGCATCAGCCTGCGCACCACCGGTGACGCCACCGCTGCCGCTGCCGCCGTTGCCACTGACACTGCCGCTGCCGCTGGTGCTGGCGCCCCTGCACGCGCTGGTGCTAGCGTCATTACTCACGCTGATGCCGGTTCTAGTGTCAGCGCTGGTGCCATTGCCACCGCTGCCACTGCCAGTGGTTCCGGTTCCGGCTCTACAACCCTCTTGCGCCCTTCCTGCCCCACCTTCGCTGCCAACAACCTCGTTACCAGCCGATTCGTTACTAGCCACCCCGTCGGTGTAACGCGCGCCAACGCCAGCGCGTGTGTGAGCGGCGGAGCCCCCACCGGTGCTGATTTTTAGCTGTCCCGGATCCAAGCTTGCCGGCTTGTGAGACGCCTCAAAACCCGCGCCAGCGTTTGTGTGAGCGGCGGAGCCACCCCCTGTGCTGATCCCCAGCCGTGCCAGATCCAAACTTGCCGGCCTGTGCCTCTTATACAGCGGCAGCGGCGGCGGCGGCGGCGGGGGAGGTGGCGGGGGAGGTAGGGGAGGGGTTAGCACTGGTGGCGGTGACGGTGGCGGTGGTAACGCGCGCCCCTTGCTACAACCGTCCGCTACAGCCGGCCAGCCGCAGCAGCAGCAGCAGCAGCAGCGCCAGCGCGGCCGGCAAGCCTCCCGCTGCTGGAAAGAGAGGAGGACGGAGGGAGAGAGGAAGAGGGAGCGAGCCCGCTCGTGCCGGGGAGAGAGGAAGACGGCGGGAGCGGTTTAGGCGGAGTGAGAGAGGCGGACGGAGGGAGCGGGTTAGACGGCAGCTGGTGGGGACGGCCTCGCTGCATGGTTATTGCGTTGACCACGGATGACATTATTCGGCTCCGCAGGTGGCGTCGACTAGACTGCTGCTGCTGCTGTTGCGGTGCCACCAGTTCCTGTGCGCTCCCATCCTGTGTTCCTGTGCAATCAGCTGACGTAGCAGAAACCGCAGGAGCGGAAGAAGCAGCAGAAACAGCAGTGATTTCAGCAACTGCAGAAGCAGCAGACGCCACAGAATGCTCCGGAGCTTCAACTACTGCAGAAGAAGAAGAAGAAGAAGAAGAAGAAGAACCTGCTGTAGTCCGCGCCGCAGCATCCACAGCTCCTCCAAACGCTGCTGCTGCCACGTGTCCCGACGATGCTGGCGCCGACTGTTTTTGAGACGCCTCAGAGCCAGACGCTGCTGCCACGTGTCCTGGCGAAGCTGGCGCGGACGGCGGCCGTGAACGGCTGTTTGACCCTCCCCGCACACCCGCCTCTGGCGCTACAGCCGACCTCTCAAAAACTGCCACGTGGCGAGCCGCCGTTGGCGCTTGCTCCGTGGGGCGAGCTTCGGCGGCGGCTGCGGCGGCGGCGGCGGCGGCCCTGACTGTGAGGTCCCAGCTTCCGAACCGTCGGTGTCTCCCCCCGCCTCCGCCTCCGCCCCCTTGCGCCGCTTCCCCCTGCGCGGCAGCTCGCCCCGAAGCCATGGCGGCGATCTCCGCGTGCGGCGGCGGAAGCGGCAGGCGGCGCTGATTGGTCGGATCCGACGCGTCCCAGCTGCGGCGGCGATTGTGGAAGTCGGAAGCGGCAGTAGCGGAAAGAGAGCTGTTTAGAGTAGCAGCAGGGCCGGGGAAAGAGTTACTTGACTTCTTAGTGGCAGCAGGAATGGCGTCTGTCGCGTAGGCTGCTGCAGCAGCGGGAAACGGGTTACTTAGTTCCACAGAAGCAGCAGCAGAAGCCGGAGTTAGGTCAGCAGCGGGAACAGGCGCGGGAACAGGCGCAGGAGGCAGGTGAGGGGGGGGAGCCATGGCGGCGGAACGAGCTAATGCGTCGACCGACATCGTTGCATCGGAGCAGATCGGACGAGCATGACAACTGCGCTTGCTGAGAATGCTTGAATGGATCGCTTGAAGTGACTGGACCGTAGTAAACCGTAGTAATTAACGAACGGTGGGACTGAGAGAGTCGGAGGTCCTATCAGACAGTACGAGCCGTTTCTGAAATATCGTGAGTCTTTTTCGTCGTTCGCTCTCGCGATAATCTCGAGGCACAAGGGATCAGAGTGGAAACTGAGCCGTCGGGTTGAGGAGCAATAGACTTAAGCGGCACTCTCGGAACAGGACTACCTCGCGGCCTAACGGTAAACCATTAACGGTGATCCTTCTCTCAGTAGAGCGTCGAGCTGTTCTCACATCGCGCTGTTCTCTCACGCTTCATTGGCGGCGGGTCCTCTTGTCAAGCGTCAACCAACCATGAGTCACCTCGCGCTACTCGAAGTTGCTATTTTTTTAATCGCCTCAAGGAATCGGTTCATAGAACCACGAACCGCCGAATGCTACTCGGAGAATCTCAAGCAATCTGAACTATATCCACCCGCGCACTGTACGGCAGATAAGAGCCACCTAGGATCGTCCCCTGACCACACAACAAAAATCTTCTCGGCTCTTCCACGAGCCACCTAGGGTCGTAAATCATTCCGGAGGGGTCTCGAAAGCCGTTCCCACGCGCGACCTGGGGTCGTGGCGAGCGGACA